TATATATATATATATAAACTTAAGCTTATAATTTCCTACCTCCTTTGTTTTTGTGTTTCCTGTAGGTGTTAGAGTAATTTCTCCAATAATGGATTCTGCATCATATGAGTTTGATTTATTCCATTCTCTGCTCCAGCCTTCCTGGATAAATGCAAAGGACCCAACATTGGTGGGACCTATAAAAATCAACAGTTGTGAAATTATCTATAAAATCCTCAGAATAGGTATAGAAGATATTTTTATTAGTTTCATATTCTTGATGTCATAATTTAAAGAATATAACAGCATCATGACAAGGTGGAAAAATTATGATAATCACCTGTTTTTAATGCTAAAGCATAATTTGGAATATCCAATGATTCTGGGGTATTTCTTGTTACAACAGACAGATCAGATATATCATGACCGTTGTTTTTTTGACAACCCCACATTCTTCATTTATTATGCTACTGTAGTCAATTTTCTTTTCTGGAAAGGTAATGATAAATAAATGGATCAACAAAGAACACATAAATATTAACACAATTACTATGATTATTACAATTACCACAACGATTCCTATGTTCCCCTCCTTTTCCATTTCTGTTGATCTCTTTCCTTCCTTTCTCTTTATAGTTCAACTTCTTTCCCTTCTCTCTGTCTGACTTTTTCCAAGCAGAGAATATGAGATGTTGGGTCCACTTTGTCACCAACTTTTTGTTTTGGCTTTGTCCTTTTGTCAATCTAGCTGGATGTATCTATGCAATTATAAATATTTATTTACCATTATTTTTGTTTGTTAAACATCTTATTAAATATACAGTTTAGAAATAAAAAAGCTCTTGTTTTATAATACAAATTATGTCAAAAAAAGATTACTTGATTATAAAATTCCAGTTGTGACAAGTGACATCATATATATGCCAAACAAATAATCTTGATTCAATTTCTGTTATGATATACTTATATATTAGCTACATTACTTGCCTACATGTATTTAGTAAGTAATGATATTAAAGTAAAAAGCTAATTCATTATCTAACGCTTGCAGAATGTGATGCTATTATGGGTGTCTTCGGTTTACATTTTTTCTGCCTGAGTGTCTTGGTGGTTGAATCTTGGCCCGAGTATGGCAATAATGACATCCTTGATGGTTACTGAAGGATTGCACTAAGTATTATTTTGTTTTATTTTGAAGAAAAATTAACCAACTAATAATGAAGGAAAGTACCTCACAAATTACTATACAATCAAGTCTATAGATGTTAGTGGCTGTATGAAGTCACACATCCACACACTCACTGACTTACACACTCACTGACTCACACACTCTCTCTCTCACTCACACACACACACAACACACACACACACACACACACAACACACACACACACACACACACACACACACACACACACACACACACACACACACATACATACACACACAACACACACACACAACACACACACATACACACACACACACACATACAACACACACACACACACACACATATACAACACACACACACACATATATATACAACACACACACACATACACACACACACATATATACACACATATACATACACACATATACATACACACATATATACATACACATATATACATACACAATATATACATACAACATATATACAACACACACACACACCACACACACACACACACACACACACACACACACACACACACACACACACACACACACACACAACACACACATACACACACACAAACACACACACAATAACTGTTCAGTGTGCAATATCATTTCATGATGGTTCTGACAGAAATGACTCTCCCAATCTCACCCTGCCTCTGGTTCTGTTCTTCCTGCTCGCCTGCTCTCCCCTTGCAATCATTATGTGTGTAAATGCTTTATATATAGTTCTTTCCTTACTTTGAGTGATATCATAATTTTGGTTTCTCTCTCCAATATCTTCACTGAAGCCTTCCAAATGTCAGTGCTGACCTCTTCCCCAAGGAAAGCTCTGATTCTGACATCAACTGCTAACAAGAGCATTGAGAAGTCAATCCCAAAGGAAACGTAGCTTTGCATCACTAACAAGTACACCAATTCAGACATCAATTACATGTCAACTGACTCCAATGAGCTGTTATCTGCTGTTATATATTTAGAAATACAGATTATATATTTATATAGCAGATTATCTCAAAGCATCCACAGTTCTACTGGTGAAGGAAGGACAATTTACTGAAGATGTTCATCTTCTCAGGTTGTCTTGGCATCTGTGACAAGACATCTTTGGGATCTATTCTTCCTTCATTACTTCAAAAGTTGTTGACCATCTTGTCCAGAAGATGATCTGACAAGCTGAATTATTTGCAATTTTGCTTTTCTGCATTATTATTTTTTTCTTTTTCTTTTTACCATGCAATACTGACATTCTCTTTGCATGTTTGTGTTCAATAAGTTTTACAAAGTTGCTTTCCTTTACTGTAAAGGGAAAGATTATAACTTTGGTTCTCTC